CAAGGCCCGGCTTTTTTTTTTTTTTTGGTAGAGATGGGGGTCTCACTCTGGCTCAGGCTGTTCTCAAACCTCTGAGCTCAGGGCAATCCACCCACCTCAGCCTCCCAGAGTGCTAGGATTACAGGCATGAGCCACCATGCCCAGCAAGGTGGCCCTAATTCTTTACCCTATCCGAAATCCACATCCTCTGCCAGGCAACTTGCAGTGCCCTCTCATCATGGACAGGGTGACCTTGACACTTGATACTGCCACATGATGGCCAATCAGATGATACCAGACATGAGGGAAGCAGAGGCTTGCAATGAGCTGGTACTTTGGGTCTGGCTCTCTTGAGCCTCTGCCGTCGCCATGAGTGCATGCCCAGGTGGCTGCTGGAGGACAGATGGAACAGAACAGACCTGCCCTAGTCCCATCTAGGACCAGCTTAGACAGACCTCTAGCCATCTGAGTGTGCCTAGCCAAGATAGTAGAGCCACCCAGCCAAACCGCAAGTGACTCTAGACGTGTAAGCAATAAATAGGCATTGTTGTAGGGCCTGAGGGTTCGGGGATATTTGTAGCATTGTTGAAGCAAAAGACAACTAAGACCACATTGCATACCATAACTCTCCATGAGGAAAGTCCCAATGCACATTAGCATATTAAAGGCCCTGAGAAGTCCGGTAATAGAGAAGCCTGTATAATTTTACTGATCCCAGCATTTTCCAAACCCATTTGTTCATGGAACCCCCCCCCCCCCCCCGTAACACCTTAAGGAAGTAGTTAGTGTTCAGAGGATTAGATAGCAAGAAACCCTAATGAAGTCCCCTCCTTCATTTTATAAATGAGGGAAGTGGATCCAGAAAAGGGGCTCTCCTGGCTTCTGGCCACAGTGTCTTCTCTTTAGTGACACTGCCATTTGCTCTAGGCAACACTGCTATGTCCCTTTATCAAGCTGAGGTCTGAACCACACAACTTTGAGTTTGCCTATTTACCATGTTAGTTTCTAATTCTACAGGAAAGTTTTTTTTACACCTACTATGTCCAAGGAACTGTGCAGGGCACCAGGAACACCAGGAAGATACAGTCCTTACCTGTAAATGTTCACACAGTCTAGTGGTGGAGGAAAACAAAGAAAAAGGTGGTGGCAATCTAATGTGAGAAGCACTAGGATGGGAGGCTTTGGGTACTATGTGGCACAAAGGATGGGGAGGTGAGGAGGTGACACATATCAGAGAAAGCTTTGCGGAAGAGGCAACATCTGAACCGAGTCTTGAAGAACAAGTAGAGGTCACCTACATAAGAAGGATGAGATAGGTTGAGACAGGGTGGGGTGAGGGATGAAGAAGAAGTTGGAGGCATGGAGAGAAAAAGCATGCGTGAGCAGAACTGTCTGGGGTCAGGGGTCAGCTGCAGAGAATAGAATCCACTCCAGCCAGTTGAAACAGAAAGGGATTCCTTGTGGGATATTAAGAGGCTAACAGGATTATTTGAAGGGCTAAAGAGACCCATTCAATGCTTAGCTTCCAGGAAAGTCTCCCAAAGCCACACCACAGAACTGAGCTGTCACCATCAGGAAGCCATTATACAACTGAAAGCTACCCTTGCCAGCTTGAAAACCATGTGGCCTCAGCCATGACCCATTGGGGAAAAAAAAATGTGTTTCTTGATCTTTAACTGAGATCCAAAGTCCAGTTTTACACAAGAATATCTGATTGGTTGAACACCTCACACCTGGAATCCTAGCTGCAAGGGAGTCTGAGAAATGTCCTCGTTAGCTGCATAAAAGAGGTTAAAGTGTATGCTAAACATCAAACCACCATATTCTTCTCAAAAGCATACTTTAAGGAAAACAAGTTCAGCATGAATTTAGGGCTCATCATTGCAGAAATATTCTCAGCTCTTAGGGCTTCTTTTTTCTGTCTCCCTCCTGGCACCCCCCCCCACTTCTGGGCATTCCATAGGCGCTCATTAAAGACCTCAGAAAAAGCCCGAGCTTATTAACCAACCTCCTCACTACTTGATCTCTAGGGTGGGCAGGTATCAAGATGAATAAAGGCAACCTTTTTTTTAAAGTCTTGCCTGGAATAAATTGCTGCTTTCTTGAACACACAGAAGGCTCTATTATTATGAAGGTGTTCTGTATTATTATTGAGAACAATTATTCAGAAGCCAGAAGCCTAGAGCTGACTAGGTTATATTCTCTGAGGAGAAATTCCAGAAACCATTACTCATTAACTTTTTTGCTTGTGAAAAGAACCTTTTCCTTTTCCCACATGGTTTTCCACCCCAAGGAAGAACTTGACCCTCCATGTTCAAACTGCAGGGGCAAACAAAAAAAAGCAACCACCATCCAGCACTCAAACCCAGCAGGCAGACCCCGGACGGGGCCGCGTTGGAGTACTCCACACAGAGGACTCTGGGAAAGAAGCTTCCACTAGGGGTTACTGAACAAGTGTCTTTCTGGAGAAATCCTATGAGCACTCCTAATGCATGACTCCCAGTCTGCCCAGGCCTCCCTGCCAGAAACAGGTCAGGTAACATGATGCTTTCCTCACCGTCCAACCACTCACACTCTGCCCTGATATCAGGAAGGCAGCACCCCTGGAATCAGACATCTGTCCAAACCCCACAGGAGGCACGGGAGGCCTAATTAATTAATGTCTGTGGAGCACCTGTACGGCCTCAAATGAGAGGTGTGAGGCGACCACAAGCCCAATTAATTACCACTAGGCTTGGAGGCTTCCAGCCCTATCTCCTCTTTCATTTCAGCCAGCTTGCCCTATGTCAGGGTAAAGTCAGGAACTGAGGGGCTACTGAATGGAAAAAGGCAGCTGAGCAACCCCAGGTGGAGCCTCAGCTCCCCATGTGGGGGGCCGCCAGCTCCTGGAGTCACTGGAGATTTTCTGTATATGACCATTTCCCTCAGAGTATATGACTTTCTCCCTCCACATGTAGGCCTTTTTCTCAAAGTGAGATACTAGCACCAAGCAGAGACACCTAAAACTCTGGCTCTGCTTTAAAGTGAGATCTCTCGTGAATATCTGCTAAGTCCAACCAATTCCAAAGGCCATATTTAAATTCACCACCATCAAATGCAGATTCCAATGCACATCTATTTCTCTGCTCCTTATCTTTGTTTTTCTTTCTCACTCTCCACTATCACCCCCTGGGGAGGGGGAGGAAAAAGAAAAAATGTCCATACAGAAGGACACAGTTTTATTACAGCAAAGTGAACGCATGGTCATCCATAAATGGAGTGTGGAAAACGGGGCTGTTTCACATTTGGTTCCTTGTACATTTTATTGCATAAGAGATCTTTGGTTGTTTAATCTTTCAGTTCCAAGCACAGGTTTTAGCCAGCCCAGCCCCCTGGACTTTCGGTTCAAGGTTGCCCTGGCCTTTCTTTGTTCACAGGCCACCAGAGCTAAGCAGGCCTAGCTGCTAACACAGCTGACACACAGGAGCATGTGGAGAGGCTGGGGCAGCGTGTAAGGTCAAGGTCTATGGGGCCAGGGCCTACAGGACCAAAGTCTGCCTGGTCAGGGGCTACATGGCCCAGGCTTGCACGGCCAAGTTCTATCTGGCCAAGGTCTATGTAAACAGAGTCTGTGTGACACGGCCATTGCCACCCCCTTAACCAGTCTGAGGCCTCCTGACCCAGAAGAGAGATCTGATGCTCAGGCAAACAAAGCTGTAAGGCGGCAGGAACAGCGACCATGCTGGGTAAGTGTTGGGCTCTATCTGAGCACCCCCAGGAAGTAATGACTCCCAGAAGAACTCCCAGCTCCCCTTTTCTTTAAGTAAGAAACCTTCCTGGGGGGCCCCTAATGAGGAGGCAGTTTCCTACACCCCAGCCCTGTGGTCCATTCCACCTCGAGTATCCACTTCCTGCTTTTCCCTCTACCCCTGGCAGCTTTCCAGTGGACCAGGAGGACCCTGATGAGCAAGGAGCTGTGTGCACAGTGGCCCAGGTCTGCAATCTGCCTCTCTGGGTGACAACAGAGTGTTGTTTTCCTTACCTTCCCTGACCTTAGAGTGCAAGGGGCTCCGGCCACATTGCTCAGGCAGGGGAAGGACCTGAGGCCCACCAGACTCCCAGGCTGGGGAGAGACATGCTCCGAAACATGGAGAAAGGAACTGTCAGCCTTCATTATTAATACCTAGCATTAATATTTAATGTCAGAAAACTGCAGCTCCCTCTCTGCACCGTCATCAGACCTGCCCGGGTCACACCAAGCAGAACTCTTCCAACTCAGCACCCTCCATAGTTCCGTGCCAAGACCAGCAAAGCAGTTTGGATTTACTTGAAATATTAGATGCAAAATGAATTCTAAACACAGAAAATTCAAGTTAAATAAGATTGAAATTATTGTATTGCTTTTGCAATCATCCCTATTCTTTAAATGTCTCCAATACTCTTAGTTCAAATGCCAGACAATTTAGAAATGGGGCAAGGTGTAAGTGCAACTCTTAATAGAGGAAGGTTTTTATCCCTCTGAGTATTTTGTGTGTTGTTTTGTGTGTTAATCAGCAGCGGCAGCAGTATGGTGTGGATGCAGCCAACAAAACCCAAAGCATCTGATGGACATCCCAAGATGGATCTGTGATATTAAAACAACAGTAATATCTACCACTTAAGCAATCAACTAATTCTTACCTATCAAAACCAACTGGTTTCTCAACCTTGGCACTATTAGCATCTGGGGAAGGACGCTCCATCATTACACATTCCTGCCCACTAACCCCAGAACGGCCCCCTGACATTGTGACCACTTAAACATAAGGCCCCATTTGCCACTGGGTGGTGAGCAGTGCAGCTCAGAGTGGGAATCCCTGATCTGGGCACATTGGGCTACCAGGGTGGAGTCTTTGGCAGGCACAGGGGTAGGTGTAAAGACAAACTCGAGAATAGCCAAAACACAACACAAGACCAGCAGATCAAGGTCATCCTCAAGCTGAGGTGCTTGGGAAGGTGGCAGGGTCAGAGGCTTGCCTCCCAAAAGTGAGCGAAGTCGTATTCTACCCCCACCCTATCCATCCCCCATCTCTACCCCACCCCAAACCCCCAGGGCAGCAGCCTCCTCCCCTCTCAGATCGGAGTAGGCTGCCACCTTCATTTGCAGTGGGGAGTAGCCACTGCTTGCAAATCTTTCATCTTTATGACTTCAAAGAACAGCCCCCCAAAAAGGCCCAGGGCACAATTTTCCAGGATCCAGAAAACTGGATGACTCACCTGTGCTGGCCCAGCCTGAGGTCCCAGGTTGTGTCTTTCCTCTGACTTGAACCACACCTACCAGGCCTCACCTTGCCACCAGCTCATGACAGGCATTCTTAAAAGGGCCTGTTACCAGAGCTGGGTCCCTGACTTGCTTGGGAAGCTCATTTAGAGGAATATAAATAGATAATGATTTAATTTCAAGGGAACTCTTCTCCCTGTAAAGTTTTTTATAGTATTTTATTGAGAAATAATTTACATGCAGTAAAATGCAGAAATCGTAAGTGTACAACTTGATGAATTTTCACACACATACACACTCATGTGCCTTATAACATTTTAAAGAGCATAAAAAGAAATTTTAATTAAAACACACAGACTAGCTGGAATAGCTAAAAATAATTTTTTAATGATAACAACAAATGTTGGCGAGGAGGCTGAGCAACTGGAATGTGTATACATTTCTCACAGGAGTGTAAAATACTGTAGCCACTTTGGAAAACTGTTTAACAATTTCTTATCAGGTTAAACATCCACCTATCCTATGACCTAGCCCTTCCACTTCCAGTATTTACCCAAGAGAAAAGAAAGTATGTGTACACAAACATGGTACACAAATGTTCATAGAAGTTTTATTTGTAATAGCCCAAAACTGGAAACAACCCAAATATCCACCAATAGATGAATAAATAAACAAATTGCAGAGTATCTGTATAGTAGGATGCGAATCAGCAACAAAAGGGAACAGAGTACTAATATGTGCAACGTGGATGAATCATAAAGTCATTCAGTGAAAGAAGCCAGAGAGTACATACCTCATGATGCTTTTTATATAAAATGCTAGAAAATGCAAACTATTCTATAGTGACGGGGATCAGTGATTGCTTGGGGATAGGAGACCAGGAGGGGCAGCAGGGGGAATCACAGGAGGCAAGAGGAAACTTTGGGGGTGATGGATGTGCTCATTACTTTTGATTATGTCTTCACAGTTGTATATAACATGTATGTCAAAACTTATCAAATTATATGATTTAAATATGTGCAGTTTGTTGTATACCTAGTGTGTCTCAAAAAAGCTGTATTTTTTTTAAGTTATATGTGTTAGCCAGGTATGCTGGCACATCTTTGGTCTCAACTACTCGGGAAGCTGAGGTGGGAGGATCGCTTGAGGCCATGAGTTTGAGACCAGCCTGAGCAACATAGCCAGACCCCTTCTCAAAGAAAAAAAAAGATCTATGTATTTTGCTACATGAAAAGTATGACTCAGTTTTTCTTTCAAGTTTTGGAATTCTCCACCACCATCCCCTCAAAAAAAAAAAAAAAAAAAAAAACCAAACACATACCAAAAATACAAGTTCCAGAATTCCACATATCATCCTGTCTTTAGAATCAAGAAAAAGAAATCCTACTTTAAGCCTGTGGCAGTGACAAAAGTGTGGCCACCACACTGCAGTAGCAGCAGGAAGGCAAGTCTACACAGCTGAACTCAGACCCGCCTTCCTACGATGTGGCTCCAACTCCCCCTTACATGACAGGCTAAAGAGCATGTTAAAACCAGGCAATTATTCCCAGGGTTAACTGAGTATAATGCACGCGTTTCCACCTTTTCTTCTCTCTGCTTCTTCCTGTTCCTCTTCCCTTCTCGGGTGACTATTCATGGCAGGAACTCCAAAATAGCAACCAAAATACTGCACTGTGACAACTCCATCTCTTAATTACAGTAAACATTTACATAATGCTCAGGCCCAGCCAGTGCAGAAAGATTCGTTAATGCAGAAACATGCCCTTTAACCATCCTGTTTTATTACACAAACCCCCCCGGGACCCGAGCAGCCCAAGATTTGCAAAAGATGATGGAGAAATTGGCTGAGATATTAAGTCCCTTTCCAGGTGCAATTAAAAGTGGGACTGAGAGCCTCCTGTTCTCACACATCTATAGTATTTTTTTTCATGCCGAATTCACACTGTAAGGATTCCAAATAGCTGTGGTCACCCAGCAGATTTCTAACATTTGCTGGCGATGAGGATTTGTTTTGATTCTCATCTTCACCTCTGCATTTCCGAATTGACAACCTAGCAGGTTTTGCTATGCAGTCTAATATTTCCATGGCCGCCCAAGCACAGGGCCTTGGAAATTAGCCTGAGAGAGAGAGATCCCCATGAACGTTATAAACATTCTCCTTGCTTTGAGCCTTTGATTCTTTAACACAGACCCTCTCTGGAGGGACCAACTTTAATCACGTTTCCTGGAGCAACACCAGCTAGCCTGCAGAGGGGCAGCCCAGACCAGGCTTACAATGGTGGGCTCCCCGCTTTCAGGGGGGTCTGGACAGTGTACAAGGAAGGTCAGTAAAGGAGGAAGAGGAAAGATAGTAGCTTTGGGAAAAGTCAAATCTGAATGATCTCCTAGGCTGCCCTGCCCCCTCCCCACTCCCAGCCTCTTCCTGTTGTGTGGCCTTTCAAAAGTGACCTGTCCTTTCTGTGCCTCAATTATCTCATCTGTAAAGCAGTGATTTTCCAGGATGTTGTATGGCTCTAGTGAGGTAGCTGTGTACAGAGCCTATAGCCAGGCCTGGGGGGTCAGCAGCATGCTGTGCCTGGTGGCTGCTCAGGGGTACCACTATTACTTTCTTACTATCACTGGCATTATTGCCATCCTTCTCAAATCTTAGCAGCAAAAAAAAAAAAAAAATGCTCCCTCATGTCACCTTCCTAGCAATGAAATGACACTCATGTGCTCCTGCACCCCCTTTGAGAAACCTTTGTGACCTACAACATGGGGCCAGCACCAAATCAGCTTGTCAAGGCCACCTCCAGAGTCCCCACCCTGGTGACAAGAAAGGCAACTGTGCTGAGGCTGCTTTGAGCAGTGAGCAGCCAGAGATGGGAATGGCTACCAAGTGGGAGAACAGTGTCGATAGGAGGGGGGAAAGGGAGATGAGAAGGCTGAGGACAAGGCCAACCAGGAACCCAGGAAGAAGTTTAAGACCCCAGAAGAGCACGCATGGCAGGGTGAGCAGCAAGACTCAAGGCTAATCCTAGGAAGAGGCAAGGGATCTGTAATTTATTTCACAGATGTTTATAAAGCACTTTGGCTACACCAAGCACTGTTTTAGCACTTTGCAAATATTAACTCACTTAATCCTCATAACTCTTTGAGACAGATACTGGTATTATCCCCATTTTACAGATGAGGCAACTGAGGCTCAGAGAGGTTCATTAACTTGTCCATGGTCACAGAGCTAGGGAGTGGCAGAGTTGGAATCCGAATCCAAGGAGTGTCACTGGCTTCAAATCCCAAGCCCACACTCTTAACCATTCCAGATCACAAGGTAGAGACCCAGTCAGCCTTGAGCCAGGACTTGAAGTGTTGGACAGGATGAGTGAGGGAGGGGAGGGAAGCAAAGGGCTCCGCAGGTGGAGGAAGAATGTGAACAAAGACTTAAGGCAGAAATGAGGCCCATGGCCAGGAAGAAAAGAGCTGAGGTGGAAACATGTCTGTGCCATCGGGTGGGGGATGGGAAAAGAGAGTGCTGTGAATACTTTTGACTACAAGATACAGAAAACTGGCATTCGAACTGGCTTAAACCAGTGGCTTGAGAACTCTTTGATCATGACCCACAGTAAGGAACACAGTTTCAGCTTGGTTCTGTACACACGTCCACGCCACTAAACGAGTTTCACAAAGCTCTGCTGCATGTGACGCACTCCGATATTTTCCATTGTGTTCTTCCGCATGCTAGCTCTATTTTTTCATTGATGGTTGTGACCCACGTAATTGATTTCATGGCCGGCTAGTGGGTTCTGATCCACAACTGGAAAAATACTGGCTTACATATGGAAGAGGCTCATGATGTCAATACCAAGGAGTGCAGTGTTGGGCTGGCTCTAAGTAGCAGACATTCAGCAGCTCAATAATGTCCACAAGGACATGGATGTCCCCATCTGCCCTCTCAGCTGGCCTCCTGTCAGCATCACGCTAAGATCAGTTTCTCTTAGCATCCTTGTGAGGTGTTCACAGCCACCCCAGAGGATACAGCTAGGCAGATACAAGTCCAGAGGAAGAAAGGGGGCAGCACTAGTGGCTCAGTGAGTAGGGTGCTGGCCCCATATACCCAGGGTGACGGGTTTGAACCCAGCCCCAGCCAAACTGCAACAACAACAAAAAAAAAATGCCAGGCGTTGTGGTGGGTGCCTGTAGTCCCAGCTACTCTGGAGGCTGAGACAAGAGAATCACCTAAGCCCAGGAGTTGGAGGTTGCTGTGAGCTGTGATGCCAGGGCACTCTACCGAGGGCAATAAAGTAAGACTTTGTCTCTTAAAAAGAAAAACACATAGGAAGAAAGGGCAGGCTACACTTTGAGCATCTTTCTTCAGAGCAAGTCAATGTTT